TTGAGTGTATCGTAAAGTTATATTCGGAAACAATAAACCAGTTTTATTAAGTAAGGACTTGTGTCGCTTAAGTTTCGTCGGAACGAAGTTACGGAAAGTCAATTAACAAACGGAGATGTAACAATACTTTCAGATGTAAAAATTGTTTGTTTATGTATACTTTTTGCTAACACTAAGCTAAAAAACACCACTGTAAGCACACGTTGTGAATAGAGTTAAAGTAATAAGAAGTGAAATTTTCGCCAAAGACTAAAACACACTTTTTTATAATTTTTTAACTCAAAAACTACGCACATTAAGACCAAAAGCTGGAAACCATGTGCTCAAACAGTGTGATCAAGAATTAAAATAAATATACTGAAACAAACTGTATAAATTTATCTTAAATATTTATTAACCAAAACTTAACCTTTTTACTATTTTTTGCTTATATATTTCTACTAGCTAGAGTAATCTTTCGTTGGACAGATGAAATATTAACTCGTTTGTAACAAAGGATAGGAAATTGTTCTTATATTTTTTCCTTAACATAATAAACATTAAAAGTGCAATACAAATACATAAAGGTACCAATATTGAAAAAAAAGACATACTGTTTTCAAGAATTCTATCAATATGAAATTAGATGGGGTCCAACCACCTCATGACATCTTGTATCACTATGTTAAGTTGTGCTGATTTGATAGTTTCTCTTTTTTGATTAGATATGAAATTAGATGGAAGGTTCAACCCCCCTTATTGTCTTCCTCATGTCATCCTGTATCACTGTGTAAAGTTTGGTGCTGATTGATCAATAAATGTGGAAACGTACAAGGAACAGAAACACACACACATGTTGATGTTTATTTATATAGATAATGCTATATTTATTTTTGCTTTTTCCATTTGATGTGTTTGCAGATTATAATTATTTTTATATCGACCGATTTTAGAACTAATACATTTTCGTATAGAGATACATTTTAACAACATAATATAGTAACAAGAATCAAATATGCAGTAAATTACTTTTAGCAATGTTTCTTTTTAATGAAAAATGTGATATTTTATGGGATAACTAATACTAACTTGACACCAATATTGCTAAGATAGCAATTGGGATTTCACTCCTGTAACTTGCAGTTAGGTCCCCGAAATCATATAAGATGCAGTCTGAATTGCTACAAAAATCACGGATATTATTTTGTGCAGTGTAAAACATATTGTATTTATCACAGTCTGTGAAATTAGGGTATTATTTGCACTTAATCATTAACACTTCTCATAAGAAAATATCATTCGGCTTATTGTATTTTAAAATCACAATCTTTATCCATTCCCTTACGTCATTTCCCAAGAAGAAGAGTGTATAATAATATTTAAACCACAGTATGTCTGACATATTCATTGCTGACGACGCACTTTGCCCAATACCAGAGCTCATCAGGTCAGCTGGAATACAACAAACACGGTAATTGCTATTTATGTAAGCTATTTGTTAGAATAACAATTGTTATGGTGTGAATACCTTTGATGGTGAAGCATAATTATAATCAATTATATTTGTCATAAGGCAATATCAATATACTTGTGGCATTTTATCACTACATTCTTTATTGTCTTGCGATCATGCATAATCGTGCTACCCAATCTTTTAAATTTTATAATTCATCATTCAATACACCATTAAAATGATTAAGTGCTCGATGAGTATTATTATCAAAATAACATAAGAGACTGAGTACATAGTATAGTAACAACAGAAAGAAGAGTGAGTCATGATTCAGTTAGTTGATATAGAAGCATTTGAAAAGTTGGCAAATTAGGAACTTAACGACAATCCACAAAAATGGAACGTAAAATAAGGTGGGTTTTTCAAAAGTTCTCAATTTCTATTTTTCTGACCTGATTTTCCTCATATTAATTTCATGACGGCGGAAAATTGGAAATTAATTGCCTTGAATGTCATCCCCTCTTATTAACAGCCAATTTTCTGTTAAAATTGGAATGGTGAAAAAGACTGCTGTAGCTTGGAGTGGATTATTATATTTTTGATGAAAAATGATGCCCATTCTACTATCTCATTGCAATAATCTTCAACTCTTTTTATTTGATTGATCACAGCAAAAAATATGATATAAATTTTCCAGGGCAATTGTTAATCTTTATTATTATGTTTATTTATGCATAATTTCGGCAATCGTAATAATTAGTAAATGAGAAATATTCATTGTTGACAGGCACGCGTTTCTGTTAGGCATATAATTGTAATTTCCTTAAACTAATTTTTTTTGTCATGTCAGTGGCATGTCTGTGGACTTGTGACGCTAAAATTCGGGTTTCGTTACCTGATAGCCCATTGTGTAGCTTTGTGCTTGACTACAACCAAACCAAGTTTTGTTTCATGACATAGCAGATAATTTACTAGTAGAATCAGACATCATCAGAAAAAAAAATAGTTGAAGCATTACTGATAAAGTCAAAGCCAACGTTAAATAAATATGCAGTAACTCATCTTCATCTATATTTATATTTTATTCACTTCATTTTACTGTAAAGATCATTTAACGTCACCTACAAATTTGTCCTAGCCATTATGACTCTGTAACTTTCTCTAGAATTCAACAGCGGTTTTAGGTGTAACTCTCACCTAGTGATGACACGATATTATGGGTTGAAACTTTGTAATTATTAAAATAAAAACTTGCCTACTGTAAAAGTTGATGTTATTGTATTTTTAAATTAATTCGTTTTGTACAAAATGGTACCATATGTTAACAACCCCATAAATTAATATGCCATTTTCTCGAAATTTCGGTTTTCTTTCAGCTCATTTTGGATATATGGTCACGTAACCAACACGACTTCTTTCTTTAGCTGCACACAAGACTAGACTCACTAATTGGTCATTAAATATGTGTTCTTGGAGGACTTTACTTGTGGTGTCCCGAAATAGACAGCGGTGTTTTTATGTCAGTAAATTGTGTAATGGTCTGAGGCTTCTCCATCCTTGTGTTTGATCGTGAGTGACTCGAAGTCACGTGAATAAGGTGCGGGGAGTGAATAGCCTGGCTTTGTTTATGTCGTGTTTTCTTATATAAACTCAATCTTTCCCCTATTAAGCAGATTTAGATTAGCTTTTTGCAGAGTCTTTCAATTGTGTTTTGAAAATATTATTAGCTATATTTAGGTTTTAGAGCTTCTGGGTTTGTTGAATTGTAAAGGTTAGACTTATATAACTTTAAAATTGCGAGGTTTTATTTGATGGTTTGATTTTCTTTTTCTTTTAACTTGTGGTGGAGGGGCAGCTAACACTGAATTAATGAATGAGAATCAATAAAGGCTTCTTTATACATTTTCTCTCTGTTTACAAGTTCCATGAGCCCACTACAAACACTTGCCTAGGTTTTGTCTCGTATTGCGTTTGTCTCCGACTGTGTTTTTGTTAATAAAGATTGCTGTTTCATAAATTTTGTACATTGACTCTTTCTTTTTCACAAACTTAGTCGGAATTCAAAACAAAAGATCCATATTCTGTGTCGTGATATTCGGAGAACCTCTTGTTTAGCAGACCCTACCCGTTTACTCTGCTGGAAATTAATGCACTAGAGAATACCACAATATTATGCATTGATTCAAGACCCCATTAGATAGAAAAAAAGTGTCAAAAGCATTGTTTTGGCAAGCACTTGGTAATGGTAGGCATTTTATTATAATATTGGAACACTCAGATCAAAAGTTTTTATATTGTGAAAGGTACATTATATTGTTTCCTTGAATGTGTTAATTGTTCATTCTTTCCTGAGAGCAAATAGAATGGTAGCATATTAGGCAACTTCCTTCATTTCACACTTGTAAACAATCTTTATGACGCTGTTGCTCATATTCATGGACTGAACACTGTCCACTCAGGTTACAAAAAAGTCAAGGAAATAGTAAACAGGGATTGGGATTATTATGGGATCCCTTGTTCGGACTTTCTTTTGGAAAACATGCTCCACAGGTGAAAAGGCCCAGCCATTGTCATGTCACCCACCATTAAAGTCAATTGCTGAAAAGGAAATCTGGCACTATATTCAAGTTGATGTTATTGACATGCGTCATTCATATGGTCATCTTGTAAAGTCCATGCTTCGCTGAGTCCAAACTGTTATAGAGGCAAAAATGGTCCAAACTCACATTACATAGGGTTTAGATAGAGTGGTCATCAATGTAGCTTGCTAGACAATAAAATATCTTACTTTCTTCTTTGTCTACAATAAATATGTATAGAGTTTACTTTAGCTGAATCTGGTTTGATGTAACATTCTTATTTTAGATTATACTCTTCTATTATTAAATAAAATATTCATCAAAATGTATGTATACTATTAGAAATTGGTTGTCTTTAGGAGCCCATACTGACCTTTTCAAACCAGTATCTTAATAATGTCACGTTTTTTGTTTTTTAAATTGTCATCAGTTTTAACTGCACCTCTGATATTAGTTTGTTGAGCCTTATTGATCAGATAGGCAAACTTTTTCAGAAACATGGCCGGACACTTACTTATGGATCCAGAACTCTCATCAACCTTTGGCTGATTTTTATGATTGGTGGATTTAGAAAGGGCAATCTTGTAAGCGACATATCATTTAAGTAAGCGTTGGAGATTCTAGTAACGAAAGGTAAATTCAACTTACAGTAACCACCTGATCAATTTAACAACAAAATAAAATAGTATGATGGTTCGTCTATAAGTAGTTGCTGTCATTACTTGAGTATGTGACTACCTATGGACAGTATAGCTATAACCTTCCTACAATAGACCTACTCTCTAAAAATACATAAAATTAACCATTATTTTGAATGTTAGAAGTCCTATTTTAAAGCATGGTTAAAAACATTAAAATAACGTGAAAATACTATACAAATAAATATTAATTTTAATTTTACTGAAATCACCCGTAAGTTTTTATAATGTATAGAACCATTTTTCAAAACACTGCAACATCCATTGCATTTAATGTGAAACAGTTTAAAAAACAATTTCGCAGCAAAAAGACGGTATTTATTTAAATCAACTGTGAAGCACGATACTTAATTATACCTTTATTATTATAAACAATTGCATTTTCTTTACTAAGGGTTAATGCTCTGACTCTGACCGTGCAATTGGCCTGGTCGAAATTTATTTTACATATCTATATATAAAATGTTCTTAAACACATAAATTTTTTTCAAAAATGAATATTTTAAGATATTTATGATTAAGAACTTCAATATGATGTTTTAATTTAACATATTATAATCCTGCAACAATCGATTTTTTTCTGGAAAAGGCTCTATTATTAATATGAATATGATAATAAACAAGAACTAATATCCATCTCTAAAAACATTCTGGTCTTACATTCATATTACATTTGTAAAATATTCTTTTTTAAAATAAAAAAACTGCTTATGTGTTTTTAAAAATGCCTCAGGAACAAATTGACAAATTTTCAGTTGTAATATCCAAGTGCCGTGACTATGGGAAGACTACAAGAGGATTCTGCAGTGTTATCAGAGCGCAGTTATTCAAAACGTACATACTTAAATATATAAGCTAAGATAAGATATAAGAAAAAGAAAGATAAAACATTACATCGAATTAAAGGTGGACTACTTTCGGCTTCCGGTGCACTAAAGTCTAACACATTCCACAGAAAACGTGTCTGCAGCCCATTTTATATTGGGGAGATGTTGGAGAGAGGAGACGCGTTGCTTCACACAAAGAAGTAAACGACAAACATAACCCCAGTAACTTAAGTTTGGCAAAAATGTGCAGAACACCTTTCTGTTTTCAGCTGTTTCTTTAGCTTTATGTAACTGAATTAATTAATTATTGTTATTAATACTGTTATTAATAGCTGAGCTTATGTGGCACAACTTCAAATCAAGCCTTAGGCAGGGCAGATGTACTTGTCGTTATAAACTTTAAAAATTTATGTTTTTATAATACTTGAGGAAACGCTTTTATGATTTTTTTAAATGCAACTATTTTATAACGCTTTAGTTTTTTTTTTTGTTGTTGTTTCATGTTATAACTTGACTGTATTTGCCTGCCTCGTGTTGATTTACCAGGCCCACCGACAGGGGGGGGGCAAAGAGGGCAACTGCCCAGGGCGAATGAAACCTGGTTATGCCGCAAAGCATCTTTAGGCTATATCTTCATTTAATGATAAAATCCATAGCATATAGATGCTTGATACATTAAGAACGACTGAAATAATAATTTGAGTAATAATTAATATGTATTTGTTACTTTATAGATTTAATAGATATTTGTTATTACTTTATTAACGTTTTTACGCTTATACTGTGAGGTAAAAACGGCTGCTGCCATGATTTTGTCTGGTTTATGAGCTCGTTGAAAATGTTAAAAAAAGAGAGAAAGGGGGCCCGGCGAGGATGTTTGCCCCGGGGCCCGTGCTGGCTCTCGACGTTCCTGTGATTTACCAATGTGTCGGAAGGATGAAAATCTGCCGTGTTCTTCATTGCAACTTTTATTGTTTTTGACTCAAGGAAATAGTCGTGTGATATTTTGAGGCCATGTGTAAGAGTTAAAATAAGCGCTTTTAATGCTTTATATTTTTTTCTGCCCCCCAGTAACAACGCGGTATTTCTGCGGACTTGCAACCCTAGAAACCGGGTTTCGATACCCGTGGTGAGCAGAGCACTGATAGCCTATTGTGTTGCTTTGTGCGTAAATTCAAACAAAACAAAAATATTTTTTTCTTTTTTACGTCTTCTAACAAGTATATTTGTCTGCTACGTGTTGGTTGTTGATTTTGACTTATAAAACAAACTGGTTTGCAGCTTTCCGGAACCAGGGTTAGAGACCACTAGACTAAATATAGATATGCAATGCTGTTAGTTTTAGAGTTAACCCATTATACTCTAACTAATGTATTAGCTTTGACCCAATTAAAAAATTAGGCATCCGTAATTATAGATGTTTACGTGTAAATACTGTTAAGGCATCCTTTCAAACCTTCAAAACATTACATAGATCACTGTACATTTCATAAAAGTGAAGTTTGTTTGTAATTAAGCACAAAGCTATATAATAGACTATCTGTGCTCTGCCCACCACGTGTATCGAAACCCGGATTTTAGCGTTGTAAGTCCGCATACATTCCGCTGTACTACGGGGGGGGGGGCAAAAGTGAAGCATCTGATTTGTCAGTTTACAAGGGAGAATTCACTAAATAACCATTAAGTTACAAATATTTCTTTGTGAAATGACTATGAAAAACACTAGAAATAGACGCATAAAAATATATTTCATGTGAATTTCACATTAATTTAAAAGTGTCTATTTGTGGATTGCAATGAAAGACACTTGAAATACATGGTAAAACAATTATTCTGTTTGGAATAATAGTTAATTTAAGGGTACTTCCCTGTAGAATAAGAGTAAAAACACTCAAAATACAGACTGCAACAGTTATTTTAGTGTTAATTCCAGCAAAATTTAACGGTGAATTGCTTTGAATTTAACAGAAGATACTGCGAACTACTTTAATTATCTGAACACATTTTTAAGGTAAAACGTCTGACAGCTCGGCTGTCAATTCGCTCCCATTTCTAACGGGATTTTATGGAATTATGGATATATATATTGTTGCGTCAGCGAGTCACATGACTAGTGTCACATGACGCCACGTTTCTAGAACTATCCCGTACCTTGGCGAATGCTCTAGTATTTACTAGATATAGGGTAGTCTTGTATATAAAAGAGGGTGACAACGTGACAGGAGCATAATGTAATGTGTGTGTAGGTAGTGAGTAATTGAACTGCAGTCACAGGGTATTGTTGAAGTTAACGTTCGTTCGTTATAGTGTTTGTTTTAGCGCGAATATTGAAATCAAGTGTATCGTAAAGTTGTATTCGGAAAGAATAAACCAGTTTTATTAAGTAAAGACTTGTGTCGTTAAAGTTTCGTCGGAGCGAAGTTACGGAAAAATCAATTAACAAACGGAGACGTAACAATATATAAACTGTATCAATTAACAACAAATGAAAATCAGTAAATGCTCATATCCGAAGACAAAATGGGGACACTGTCTTTCCATGACGGGTAGTAATTGCAAAATGAGCCAAAATAACCGAAGAATTTTCACAACACTACGAACACACGAAAAGTTCACGCAGCTAATGCCATATCTAGTACTGAAATTGTATTCAAGCATCATTTTTCAAAAAGTATTACCTCTCTGTGGTTTTATATATATATATTTGGTGTAGTGTAGATATGTACGATAAAATTTAATAGACATCATCAATTATTAGTAAACGTTTGATAATAAACATGGTGTGTATTGGTTTAATTTTTTACATGTTTTCTGAAAATGTTTGTTGTGTTTTAATTATATATGCTTTATAAAAGACGGAGTAATTGTTATTAGTATCAATAGAATTTGGATCTCCACATCACGAATAACATAAATTAAAACAGAATTTCCAAAATATTAAAACTTTATATACTATTCAAATCTAAGTTAGAACAGATAGGAAAAAAATTAAATACTAATACTTATGCGTAATCAGTGCAAAATTCTGGCTTAAGAAAAGTTATTATGTACAACATTTTTAGGTTTTTGTTTGTAACGAATTTGTTGTTATATATTTATTTTAATATCAACGTTTGTTTGGGTTAAATTTATATTTAGAAACATACATGGCTTATACTGTTAAATATGTATTGCGAAACATTCTCCAAAGTTGTAGAAGATTTTCGAGAGTAACAGTTAACAATATGTGTGTATGTAAACGCTTGTGTTAGCGCCAGTATTGTTATATAAAACTGAACTTTCTAGTAAACCTCCATACGCCTATAAATATAACCAACGCGACGTTCCAAAAAAGGGAGAGTATCTATTATTAGTGTGCTATAAACTTTGGAAGCTATAAATGCGATTGTTATAACACTTACCAATCGGAAAACTTCAGATATTTGACTAGGAACTTTTCCAAAGTTCGAGCATTACAAATCGCTTAACTTCAGTGGATTCTCATCGGACATTATTATTAATCGTGGAAAACTCTGCCTGTGCGGCTGACAAATAACGAAGGATAAAGCTAGCTAGCTTCCCGTTAAGCGAATCGTACCTACATCAACTCG